TTATTGAAGACGTCTGAAGCAATTCAGATGAAATAGATCTGGAAGTGGTCTAGTTCATCTTCATTCTCTGCAGTGATTAAAGGGAGCATAAAGAAATTAAAAAACAGACCTCTACCTGCTATATACACTCTTACTCCTTAGAGAAATGAGATGTTAGAATGTCTGCAACCTTGTTGATTGTTGTTACTGCATTTTCCCCACCATGTTCAGGCTGAGCTCCTATTTGTCATTAGTATCTTAGGGTGATTCTAACAATCAGATATTGTAGCTGTGACATTATGACCATAAACTGCAGCTCAGGAATGCCTCCGGATTAGCTGAAATATGCTTTCCATCAACATCAGGTAGGGACATATCTCTTTCCCTTCCTTTTTTTCTGCAGGGAGGGGGAAGGGAGCAAACCATGTCTTTTGCAGTTCAAAACTCAACAGTTTCCACTTGTGTCTGAGTTCCTGTATGACTTCCTTTCAGTACAGTGGGATCATATGGAATGGAGGATCTTGTTTCACGCACATCTGTCTTTTTCGAACCCACATCACCACAACAGCAAACACTTGGTTTTAGTGACCTCCTGTGCCAACACTTGCATCTCATTGGTAAGGAAAAGGATTTTCCTCACTTGGCAGGTGAACATCTAGATTGTGTCTCATATTCTGTCTTCTCAGAGCCAAGGTCTGCAGAACACGTATTATGAAGGCAGCAGTCTCAAGGCATCAGGAGAATGAACCAATGTTATTAAACCTGGGCTTTTTTGCCTTTGCAACAGTACTTTTCAGCCTGTGGTCTGTGAACTTCTGGGAGTCTGTAGAATACTCCAGGAGGCCCATGAAAAACAACTAACAGAAGCAAGCCTATTGTCAGTTGGTTTAAATTCTCTATACAAGGATATACACCTCTTTTGGAAAAAAATTAGGAGGCTTGTAAATTGAAAACTGTTGAAAACTGCAGCTCCGTAATATTACACGGAGCAATTTTTCTACATGCTTAAATGCTTAGAGGGTGAATTATTCTAGCTTGGTGGTTAGCACAATAACTCAGGCAACAGCAGTTGCTCCAACAAGCATTTAATTATTTTGTACAAACACAAGAGACTGAAAAGTCCTACCTCTGAATATCCTATAGTGCAGTGATTAGGAAAATCTCTAGGAAGGTGAGAGGCTCGAATTGGGCAGGAAAAAATGTGAAGCTTAGCACATCTGTGGGGAAAGCTCCAACACTCTCTATACGAGGTATATAAAAGAAATACTTTTCCACACATCTCTCTCCTCGATGTGCTGTGCTGTGTGGGATCTGGTAAATGCTTCCTTGCAGCTGAACAGCTGGAGTTGTACATGTGCTCAGCATTGGAGTAGTTGTACACATGCCCATCAACAAAAGACTGAGAGGGTGGTAATCTAGATGCATAGGCTCAAGTAGCACTGCATTCAAGGTGCTGAAGATCTCAGTTTGTGAGTTGGGCATCAAAAGATGCATTATAATTAAGCCTTTTGTGATTCACCCAAGGCCACAGAGGAGGTTTTTGGTAGAGAAAAGATGTGAACCCGAGTTTGCCAAATGTGAGTCCAGTACCTTAACCTCAGGGCTGTGATGTCACTATCAACACAAGAGAGGCAGTGACCAGATTAAGGGTGAGTCAGAGCAGCTTTTTTCCCCACAGATATAGTTTTAAAAGGGAACCAGTAACATGAGAGTGCTACCAACTAGCAAGTTGTGCCAAGGGGAAAGAGGTGGAGGACAAAGCCCTGCATCGGATGTGCAAAGTACAGAGATGGTGCAGAAAAAACATATAAGATTAGGTTAAAAATCCATGGGGAGTTTGTAAACAAAGAGTAACTGCTGCTCCATGGTGTGCTTCTGGTTGGATTTCCATATAGAATTCACAGCATCCTAGTGAGAAGTAAAGACAGGTTCATGGTTCTAGTATAGACAATATTCAGTTTAAAAATAAAGGATCAGCTTCAAGGATGAACAGCTTTTTCTTCCTCGAAAGAGCTTCTATTGAAATCAAGAGAATCTACTGCTTTCCAAGGGATTTGTCATACTGTTCAGACATCCTGAGAACCCATAATTGGATTTTTACCATAAACAAGTGTTAGGAAACATGTTTCTTATTTAGGTTGGTTCATGTGTTCATGTCCTTTTTTGCTTCCCTGTTAGTCAACAGAATTTCTGTTGACACAAGTGGGAACAGGAAGTAAATATTTCACGTGGGGAAAGGCAAACCTTCTGAAGTTCACAGAACCCAAAGCTATTAACCTATTTTGAGTATTTAGAAAACAAACTGTTTACCTCCACAAACTTCTTTTGCCTGTAATTTAAACTCATTTTCCCTCCCCTGACATTTAAGGGGATTACATTTCAAAACCAAACAGATTTTCTAGGGAGCCAATTTATGTATTAAAGAAGGCTGACAAAAGCAAAGCAGCCACAGATCAGTACAATGTCAAGGATTTCTGAATGTCCTGTCCTCAAACTTCCTAATGCTTCCTCTGTTGGAAAGTATTTTAGATTTTTATGTTACATCAAATATTAAACTATATTTTAACTAAATGCAATGATAAATAGTAAATAATTATACATTTTTATTTATTAAATTCATTGTTTGTGGTTAGTTATATTTTTGTTTTTATTTATTGCATCTATTGAAGCCTCTGTTTGCTCCTCTCCTTTTTAATTTTTTGTGTCTCTGTTAACTTTTCACACCAGTGTCTGAGTGTGTGTTTGCATTTTCTGTTTAGAAAACGTGATTCTAATAATTGGAAAATAACTTTCAAATCTAAGTTACCGGCATTGTCAAAGAAATTGGAAAATTTCACAATTTAAGGAAATGGCAGCTGAGAAAGCAAATGTTTAAATATGCTAGAACTTGGATGATTGTGCATTACTCTTCAAACTCCCCTTTCTTGTCAATATTATTTTGATGCTTAAAACTGAGTCAGTTTTGCAGGCAAAGTACTGTGAATATGAGTGAATAGGATTCTTGTTTGTATTATGTTAACAGCCAAACAACTGGTAATTACATGGAGACCTTTTTTGAAGCATGAGATACTGAAGGGACAAGCAGAAGTGGAGGTTTTTTGATTCTAACTTCCCATTTCCTGACAGTTGTGTATTTGATTTCTCAATATTATGATTATCTGCTAGCCCAGAAAGACTTAGAAGCACAGTGAGCAGATCGGTTTGTACTGTGGCCCCTGAAAGTAAATAGCGTGAAAAAATCCGGCTTCAATATTTTAAATAATGGCTTGAATTCAAAAATATGTTGTTTTTTTTTAATTAAAGAACAGGAATATTTCTAAATCTTCTATTTTTTTTTAACCTACATGCAGTGTTTTTGTGTTTGTTGTGGCTTCTAAGGAGTTACATCTTGTTCTTTATCTGTTCAGAAAGCTTTTGAACATATCAGCAGCAAAAAGTTTAGGATGGATGTTTTCTGAATGCAATGCTGAAGAGCCAGACCCAAATCCCATGGAAGTCTGTGGTTGTAATTCTCACTCCATCTACATGAAAAATAGGTCTGGATTCACAGTGGGTCTGAGTTAAAACCTCGTGAAATCATTCTGAGCCTTCGCTTTGAGTCCAGTTGTCTTTGGCTCATGTTCAGGGAGCCAGTTGACTTGTATTTCTGACCCCAGCTTATTTTTATTTATTATGAGTGGACACCAGCTGCTTCTTTGTTGTCTAAAATATACCGTCTGCCCTTGAACTTCAACATTTTCCTTCCAATAAGATGATTTAGACTTTGTCCATGGTTTGCCAAACCAGCAGGCTACATCATACCTTAGGACTTCCAACAGACCACAAGTGGCTGATCCTCCACCTACCTTTGGAGAGATACATAAAGTGAAATATGAAAAACATCTATAAGGCCTTATAAAATGGAAGTATTGATCAACAGGGCCATGGCTTGTGTTATTACTTTTGCTGATATGTTCAATTAACAATCTTGTCAAGCAGAACCTGGCTTTGGTCACAAAACTTTACTTCATTTAAGTTAATAGTCCTTGGTATCCAACAGTGGGATGAACCAGATTCCTTAGCTTTGTTTGTTTTGGCCTACCGTGTCTCTTTATGAGGAAAATGGTCAAAGTAAAGTGCTTCCTCTGTGTATTTTGACAGGGAACAGTACTAATATGCTTTCCTTTTGTCGCATGCCTTGCTCTTTTCTCCCGGTGTTGTTTAAATATTTTCAGTCCAATGACATATTTATTAACCCACCACTCTCTGCATGGGGTAAGACTTTGATTGGCCCATCTGTAAAGACTCTCGGTTAAGGTGGTTTTTTCAGCAAGAGTTAATAATATTACTACTATTCACGTAAAACTCTGAGACAATCTCTTTAAAAATGGAGCACATTTATCTAAAACAGCTGGTTAAGAGAGCATGAGGGCCCAGCTAGAGTCGGCAAGGTCGGGGGTCAGGGTTAACACCAATCTCTGTGGAACTTTGAAGCTGACATTTTACAGATTATATGTGTCTCAGTGCACAGTGGGCATGGCATATAAATTGGTCTTAGAGGCCCCTATTTGTTCTCTGCATTTTTATGAGCCCACAGAGTTGTTCTTTGAAGCAGCACACACAGAAAATAAAAACTCATTTTAATGTTGTGGAACTATTTGCAGTAAATCATGTTAACATCCTGGCTTTTCTTTAGAGAGATGCAGTGTGATTTTCCATGTTCCTGGGTGCTGTGATTGCCTCTCTTTAAATTCTGTATTTTTCTTTTTAATCTCGCTTCATGCATCTTGTCTTCTCTCCTGTTCCCTGCTTTGGTATTTGCAAAGTTACCTTATATGCCTGCTTGATTTTAGGCTACAAATGATACCTTAGCTATTGTTAAGTGCTTACTTTCTCCTTTATCAAAATCCCCTGGCACTATAAACCCCTTTGCCATTGTATGGCACTGTAACCTTAAAAGTAAGCATTTGATTTCAAAGAGACCAAGTTCCATTCTTGACCTAATTATATCATTTATTTTATGATTTTTTTTTAATTGCTAGGTGTTTTAACTGGAAAATACTGAATTCTGGAGAGTTACAAGGAGCAGACACGGTTAACGGAATCTGCTGGAGGTATTTTAGCCACCTAATTAATTTTCAATAAATGCTTCCAATAGGTAATTTGCTTCTGGCCAAATGTAAATCAACTGGAGACAAATAGGGTTAAAATTAGAAATGTGTGATGGGGACAATGTTTATAGACAAAATAACCTGGCAGTCCTAGAAATAGCTTGCTGACAGTAATAGAAAATTAGACCACACAGATGTTAACAAAAAATGAACATTGCATTTCATGTGGCCCTGGTAGAGGTTCTCCAGCTAGATGCACAACTGGCTCCTATGTGTGGGTCTCACCACACAAGGTCTTCTTATCCTTAAACTTCCCTTGGTATGGATTGGTATGGATTGGGCATAACACGATCTCAGTCCTCCTCTATTTGGCATGCTTCCTGAGGTGCCTTTTCTCCATTCTCTGTGCAAAAATAGACCTTACTGTTCACTTGAAACTTCCACAAAGCCTCAAGACACTCCAGCTAGTCTTAATACCCTCAGCAGAGCTCCAAGTTTTTATGTTTTCTAGTTTAAGAGGTCGTATTTTCAGAAACACATAATAGCTGAAACACAGACCATTGATGAAAAAAGTTTTCTAATTTTGTTAATTATCAGTGGTACTAATCTACATCAGCTTCTGAGAGAAACACACGGATTTTTAAAACATAAATTCTTCTTGCAGATTTGCTTTCTTAAGTTTCCTCACTCTCTCACAATTCTCTCCTCTCAGAGCCTTCTAGTTCTATGGTAAATCCCCTTGTCTTCTCTGCTGGAATATGAAGCCAGTATCTGTCCCACCCTAAAAAGGCTGGTAAAAGATTCTTTTTATAACTTCCGTTCTCCCATGCCAGGTGACTCCTGGACAGGTCTGCCAAATGCTCAAGGTTCCCCATGAGCAACATTCTGTATAAGTCCCTTCCTGCCCTTAAATTCAAACTGTAAAAGTTAGTCTGACTTGGGGAGAAACAGACTCTTTATGCATGGAAACTTTCATATGCTAAGAGGATTTTTAAAGCCTCGTTTTGATGCCTTATTATTATGGGTCTTAAGTCACCTTAATAATTTAAAATAAATCATAATTGGTGCAGAGAAAATGACAGGATTAGTGTTACTTGTGACTGAGTGTGCCTGTGAGCTGTGAATACTGGAAGAGCCTTCAAAACAGGCACCAGCTGCTGTATAAATAGGGAAATCTCTCAAAGCTGGTATTCATGAGCAGACCAGCAGCAGCACTAGTAAGACATGGTAGAGCTGCAGAGATATTGCTGGCCTGAAAAACAATTCAGAGATAATTATGTGGTACAGGACATGACAAACATAGGCTGCTGCTACATAAACATAAACACAAGTGACCATTGGAGGCACGTGATTACCCTTCTAGAAGGAAGCTTGCTTAAACCTTTAGCATTATCTGAAAGCAAAAGTCGATGACACAGGCTTGCAACTTGTATAAGCTTCTTTAAACATAAAGGTGACAAAGCAAGATATGATAATTCTCCTGGCATTTTCCTAGCGTCTGTTACTGAAAAGATCCTCACATGGACTCCACATTTCCCTAGGTTTTAGTGGATTTAGGTCTAGCCATGCTTTATATATAGGATCTCTGTCAACTTCAGGAAAAGGGCTTGGGAGAAAAATTGTTGGTTGATCTAGCAATAGCTTTTAACACTGTAAAATTATGAGTGGGTCTGGAAAATTGTGTTCATCTTTTTGAAGTCCCACAAAGTTTATTTCTGTCACTTTATTTTTCTATGATGGCCAGTGTACGGAAAATGGCAAAATATCGGACTCCATTCCAGTCTCAGGCAGCCCCAAACAAGGTTGTGTGCTGGCTCCCATGCTGGTTTCCTTCTTTTTCTTGGCTGTGCTGGTGGAAGCATTTTGCTGACAGTGAGAGAGGAGTATTTATTTAGTTCTATACCAATGGAAAGTTTCTCCATCTGCAGCGCTGCTCATCAGAGATCTTCTTTTTCAAATGACTTAATGCTTCAGTTGAAGACATTTGCTTAAGCAGTGACCATTTTGCTGAGCAGCCGTTCAAGTGGGTTTCATGACTGAACAACAGGATGTACATGTTGGTCATATTCTTGCTTCTCTCCAGTCTAGGAGAGCTTTGCCGAATAGTAAGAATATTGTCACAGAAGCTGCTGCTGAGATTAGCCATTGCACAGCTTTGCATTTTGGCTGTGGTTACACTTCTGTAGAACAACATTGTGAAAATAAGTAGTAATAATAATGTCTGTCAAAATGTCCAGCTCATAGTATTCCTTCCTGGTTGTAAGACATGGGTAACATACTGTCACTCCATCAAAATACTTAACCTCTACAGCCTAGATGCTGTGGTTTGGCCTGTTTGTGAGATCAGATGGTGGAGTGACATACCTAATATGCAAATCCTTGTATATTGGCAAATTTTTCTCACTGAGCAGTGGAAATGCCTGGACACCATACTATATGGCTTGAAAATTCTTAAGGAAATTTGTTGAAAGGATCAACAAAACCAAAATGGCTGTTCCCATCTTGCTGGGATAATGCAAATCCAGCTGGAAAGTGAGCTCCATTGACAGCACCTCCCAGAGGAGGCAGCAGCCCACAGCAAAGCAGAGTGGTGGTAACAGCACTGTACATTGAAAGAAATTGTGAATCGTACAAAAAACGTCCTTGATAATTCCACTTACTCCACATCCAGCTTCTCAAGACAATGAAGCATACCTGCAGTTTCCAACATACCTGTCAATGTTGCATGTTTTCTGGGTTCATGTGTGCTGAAATGAGCATGAGTTTTTGTCATTTTTGATTAGATAGCAAGAAAAGCAGGTAAGAGCTGAATTCAACAGGATTGTGCAGTTTGACACAGAATCCCATCAAAACCAGATATTTTAGATAGGTTCCCCAGAGTGAAGTTCTAAAGCACTTTAAAAATGAATAAAAGACATAACTGGCTAAAAAAGACTTTGTAGTGATGAGGACAGATCCTTGGCTGCCATAAATTTCTGTAGCTCTGCTGAAGCCAGTGGAGCCAGGCCTTTCTATACTGGCTGGTGTTTCAGCCCATAAAGTTGTCATTTCAATTCCATCATTAATTATGAACCCTATTTTTGCAATTCATAGTCAGACAAATAATTCTGGACTCAACATTGTAACTGTTCATGCATTTAAGGGAACAGTGAATCTAAATATTAGACAAATATTAGAGCACTAGCCCTCAGGCAAGAATTTGAATCTGTATGGCATTTTAAGCACATTTTGTCTGCTGTATCATGAAGTGGATTAATTAACCCAGAATCACATTTAGTAATCAAGACTCAAACAATCAATGATGCGTTCGATGAGTTTTGGAAATTATGTTTTTTTTAACCAATTTTCTACAATAGCAAATTACATTCCTGTATTTAAGATGAGGTTATCGTGAGTTCTTTATACTGCTAGAAGAACTGATAGTAACATCAGAAAGGTGAATCACTTTTGGATAATAGTCCTCACTTCCAGGTAAAGACTGTCTTTCTATTCCTAGAATTCTATTAAGATAAATGACAGCAAGTTTTCTTAAGTTTGGTACTACCCAGTAATACAAGCTATTTAAAAAGGCACATAGAAATTGCTGGAGATACTTCAGTTTTGAGTTTATGGACATTCAATACGGTGCTGAATCCATATATTGCCTTTAAACCTAAAAGCCATAACAAAACTCTCTACATTTTCTGCATTAATCTAATGTATTTAATTAGCAGTAAAGCACAAGGCTGGGAGCCAGGAGGTCTGGGTCATAACCGCTGTGGGAATCCTTTGCAAGCCTTGCCTTGCCTGTCACCTGGGAATAAAACTCTCTCCAGGGAAGGTTTGCCACAATGGAACTTAATTTACTGATGTTTTTAAAGCGCTTTAAGGACTCAAATGGGAGGCACAAGAGAAATGAGACTTGTGTGGAACTATTGTGCATCCTAGTACCATAGTAACTGTTAATGATGGGCACATTTCAGAAAGTTTACGGAATAGCTGAGATGATAGCCATGTGTTTGGGTACATAAAGCCTGTTTCTGCTGAAATGAATCCAAGTCCTATGCTAAACCTAATGAAAGCAAGACCAGTCCTTGTTCTTGCTCTGTGTCAAAAAATGGTACAAAGACATGTTCTCATAAAATGTTTTCATCAGGACTACCTTTGTCACATTGAACTAGAAAATACAAAGGAAGAAGGAAGCAAGGAATGCATTTGTTAAATTAAATGGAATTTTATTTTTAATCTCAAGACAACCTTTTATTGAACACTGTGCACAGATTTGTTTTACTCTGTTATTGCCAAATTTCCTGAGCTACTGCCAGTCATAATTCATTTGAGCTCTCATGTGTGTATAAATCACAGCAGACTGCCAGTTGTTCTCCGTTTGCTTCCTCCTTCTCTCTCCACACCCATGATCAATGCTGTTTCTTGTTTACTTCACTCAAATGGAGATGTGTCCTGATCCTGCCTTTCTTACCACTTAGTTTATAAAAGCCTCTCTCTTGTTCTGCCAAATAACCCTTGTTTCTGAGAAAAGCCTGAGCGAACCCAGCTGTAACACTCAGGTGAAATAAATCCAATTGCCTCCATTAAAGTCACAGGGGTATGTCCACATCAGCGTGAAAAAAATACCTGAAAAGAAAATTTACCTTGATATTTCAGCCTTTCAGTCACATGAGAATTTACATTTATCTCTTCTCATGTGTCTAGACCAACAAAGGCTCCAACCCTAGGCCAAAGTGTCTTTAGCCTCATAGCTAGTGGAGAAAAATGGAAAGAAAGATGGTGCTACATTTCAGCTCTGGTTGATGAAGATAAAGAGACTGGCTCTGGGCTGCTGGCATTTGTTTCTTGCTTTGAAAGAAGGTCACAAAAATGATAAGCAAAACACTGAAAAAATGGTAAATCACTCAAGGAAAACTAAATCAATTTTGTTTTGTCCCTAAGTGTTTCATTATAATCATAAACTATAAGGTGTTAAAGGGGTTAACAGGCTCTCAACTCATTGTCAACTAATTATCTTTAAGGTGTTGT